AGTGCACTGTGGGTGCATGCATGCAGTTAGCATTAATTGTTTGTTATGCACCAAAAATTCTCATGTTGTTTTCTTATGTCTCGCAGTACAGATTATTAATTCTTTGCATGTTTTTGTAGTTCATAAAATTGCGACAATTTTAGTGTATTTTAACTCCACCTTGAACCTGTTCCTTTTCTTCTGGAAGAACAGAGAAGTGAGAAAAGCAGCGAGGCAGAAAATCAGAAAAGCACTTTGGTTTTCAACATGATGGACTTATATCATAAATGCTTATAAATTCACAGTTTACTGAATAAAACTGCAATCACAAGTGCTGAGGAATTGGACAGGCCATGGAATGAAATTGAAATAATCATGCATTCATCTTTGAAGTATAACTGGCCTTAATTCATTCTAAGGAAGCCGTGATGGCTGGGCTCAAGTGGAATCGTCGGTTTGAGAGCAGACTTAACAGTAAAGTTTATAACTTGCGTGGGCCAATCTTGTATAGTGTATTATTTAATTTCAATTTACTTTGAAATTATTAAAAGGCAGAAAGATATACTACGAGTTTCATACAGGTTTACAGGGGTGGATCCAGGAATTTTTGATTGGGGGGTCCAAACTTTGGTTCAGAAAGGACTGTTAGACTCTTTTGAGGCAAATTACTTCTTCCCAACACCCCCCACAACCCTCCCACCAGTCGCCGTTGCACGTTATAATTCCTTGGCCGCTGACCGTTTGCTTGGATTCATTAATTAAAAAAATCAGCCAGTTAAAAAGTGATATACGATCCTTTCGATGTAAGAATTTCAGTCTCAAAGTCAGTAAGCGTCAGGCCTGATAGAGGGGGGGGGGGGAATCCGGACCCCCGGACCCTCCCCCTGGATCCGCCACTGGTTTATACGATTTTAACAGCAATTTTCAATGCTTTGAAACACCGAAAAAGATAGATAAATAAAGTCATGTAAACAAACAACTTCACACAAACAACTTCATACAAACAAAACCTTCGATTTATTGTATTGTCTAACATTTCCTAACCATCTGTAAAATGACGAAAAAACGTCATGTTGAATATTCAATAATTTAATAGGAAAGGTTTCTAGTATTTCATTTTATAACTCGAAATTGTTCATCGATCTAAGATAATTTTCCGTCACCAATCGATCGATTCTTCATTCGCGTTTTCGAGGGGAAAAAATATATTTGACCCATGCAATCACTAGCAGGAAAAATTACAGCTTGTCTAAAACTGAATAATTCAGAATTGAACTGTTTCTGATATTGCCGCCAATTAACATAAGAAAGGAAGTTATTAACTCGTTCCTGTAGACTAAACGTTGCTTCTGGCTAATTAAAAGCGAACGATTAACAATAATCAAACGAAACTAGTTTTTTTTTTAGAGAGGAATATGTTTCAGTTTTGAAAGAGAAAGGTAAATAAAGAGTGGCAGATATATATTATCGAAGCTGGGAAAACGAATAAAAATGAATCGAAGTTGTATGACTTGATTTACTTACGTAATATTTTTGCACCTATCGAACTTCCTTTTTCAATCCTAGTCGGCCGCAAAATGAAGAAAAAAATCCAAAGACGAATTTTTTTCATTTTGAATTAACTTTTTTTTAAATAAAATAGCATTTATTGAGTTCAGATATTTTTTTGTGTTTTATACGTTCGCAGATAGGACGGTTTTTAATTTTATCTCAGCGGTATTTCTGCGAAATATAAAATTTTGCTGAAGTTTTATGGATGCGGGTCGGAGATCATTGATGTTTTGAAGAAAAAAATTTCCCTCCGGTTCATTATGATTTAAATATCTGATGGAAACGAGCTGATATCTAGGATAAAGGCTAATAGTTTCGAAAGAAACTGTTTGGGGCTGCGTCGGTAGGAGTAACAAAATAATTTGGATATATCAACAAAGTTGAAGTGGTAAATTGGCCACCGTAACGATTACAAAAGCTGACGTTTCGAGCGTTAGCCCTTCGTCGGAGCGAATAGACGAATAGACTATTCGCTCCGACGAAGGGCTAACGCTCGAAACGTCAGCTTTTGTAATCGTTACGGTGGCCAATTTACCACTTCAACTTTGTTGATATATCCAAATTATTTAAAAAAAGGTGTTCAACAAAACCTACTCGGCAGCTGGGTTTTCAGGCTTTGTCAGTCTTGGACAAGTTGTCAACTCGTTCAAAAGAAACTAAGGGTTATATTCTTTAAAAGAAGAAGTAAAAAAAACCCAATCATAGGGCATTTTGTTTCTGACAGGAAACTTTTGTTCTTCAGCTTCACCTATGACAAACGAGACTTATTTTCATCTCTTTATGTTTCAGATTTGCATTTTTTGAATTTGACACGGTTTGTATCCTTGAAAATACTTACTCTTGTTGAGTTGATGATGGATCGTCTATAGAACGGGGATCATCAGGATTTGTATCTGAATATGAGCATTCAATATTTTCATCCAAAGTCGATCGGCCTTTAAGATCTAAGTTGTAATTTGATATATTTTGTTTTGTTATCAAGATAACTTCCTGTAGCCGGACGGGTCCATTTTCTCAGTTATTGTCTGAATAAAATATAAAAAAATAACTGTTAAATTTCTAAAGTTGTGCACAAGCTAGGTTTCGTTGTCTTCCATCTCTCGTGACAATCTCTGACGTTAATGATGTATTTTTAAACCCTTTCTCATTATAACCTTTCCTTTTTCTTTTTTCCCCGTATTAAGGCTTCGTTTTATGACGCATGAGACTAAGTTTGGTCTTCTCGTCACGTTTTAGATTTACATTTCTCCGATTTGATTAGCTTTATCCTTAAGAAAAATATTCATAAACACACCACGTCTCTGCGAAGTCGATTTTGAATTTGATCACACACCCGACTTACTCTGATCTCTCCCTTTTAACCATCGTGCATTTTCTTTCAAATCAGGGATGAGAATCTTGTGTTACATCAAGATAACGAAATGTTTTTATTCAAAAGAAAAGGTTAAGAACGAGATCAAACATGATCAAAATGAAATGAGAGGAAAAACTATGATGAAAAGCGCCGAGATGCATTGTGTAAAATGTTCCTAAAATTCTAATTGTATGGCTGTGTAAATTCTATAGCATAGAAAAGTTTCCCTTCTAAGAGTTCCGTACGAATGCAGGACTCATTTGCTTTGTTGTGTTACAAGTTTGCTCTCGTAGATGCTTTCCTAACAGTTCATGACAATAATTGTTCCGATGAAACAAGCAAAAGTGTAAACATCAATTTCTTGATTTTAACTTTTTAGAAATAAATTACACCAACTGCAACCAACTGTTTGTTTTCAATTTATTTTATAGGATAATAAAGAGCTTTCTCTTTTGAACTCACAGCATGCTGGGGCTAATTGAAGCATTACTGTAAAAAAGAAAAAAGAAATCAGCATTGTTTGAGAGTTGAGCGTCAATCACGATTTAAATTCCATATCCTTTCAAATGGAATTATTCAGCTTCCATTTCCATTTCATAAACACCTGCCTTAAGGAGATATAAATATCGTATGTCAGTTTGGGGACGGAAATAACACATATTTTACGAAAGTTTGGTGGTAAAAGAGTTTTTTGACGGTAAGCAGTTTTGTTTGTCATTATGGACACGAAGAACAACAGGGAAATCGCATTTGTTGTTTTTTTGATATGAGTTACGTTTCTATCAGGTGCCATCTGAGGGAGTAGTAACCTTCCCATTGGCGGATATTGAAACTAATTCTTTGCGCTGTGCGGAAAGATATTTCGTTGGCTTGTTGTGAAAGCCGAATAATTCGGGTAAGTTTTAATTATAAAATTCGATCAAGGTTTCGCGCCTCAATTAAGTGAAAAAAAGAAATTCGTTCAGTACTTCAATGTTAGAAAAAAAGCGCAGGTTAAAAGTATNTGTGACAATAGTTTCCTAACAGAAGTTGTCACTTCTTGACACTTTAATCTTCAGGGCCGAGTTGTTCAAAGCTAAGTTAAAACAGTCCATGATTAGTGTAAAAGTTGATATCAGATCTAAAAGCTTTAAAAGAAATTCAGTTTCATTGTTTTTGTCTACAATTCGATGATTGGATACTCTAAAAGAATAGGGAAAATTATCCGCCAAAGGCTCTTGAATAGAGAATTTAATAGAGGTCATTTGTTACTGCTAATCGGCCTTTGAACAACTACTTTTCCCAGGCGGTAATTAACATGTAACTTCGCCCTGCAATATCCATACATTACTCAACAAACAAGTAAAGAAAATATTTAAACATGTCAGGTAGAATATGTTATATTAATCTAACACCAAATTCTCGTAACTAATATACAAGAAATGTGAAGCAGCCAAAGAGGAGAATTATAAATCTTGATCTCAGATTTTGCATTGGGAATGAATTTAAAGAGTTAAAGGACTTTGTGTCACTTAACGACGTAGTTAAAAGTTTTCGATTTGTCTGCTAAAAAGTGAACTAAGTGGTTCCCAGTTATAATGGCCTGAGAAGACGTTGCCAATAAGCATTGAATTGGATAAAAAATAATTACTTAACAATGGTGTACGCGGGTTTAATTTCCTTCCTTGCCGCATATTTTCCCTTCAACTGTTTTGCTCGGCCATGTCGACGGAAAAAAATATTGACGTGACAAGTTCTTCTACAGCAACTACAACTTTCCTTGTAGAGAGCGAGATTCCCCAGAGTAGATGACCTGTTAATAGTACTTTTTTAAAAAATTACCAATGAACTGTAAAGTCGGAACATTCTGAGAAAATCATTGTAG